AGGATTAAGAGATAGATGGATCTCTGTGAGTTCAAGGCCACCCAGATCTACACAAGAGTGAGTCCGTCTAAATAAGAATTATAGCTCATACCTTTGTTCCCAGAACTAGAGGGTATAAAAGACAGGAACAAGATCTTAGAAAGGATTCATTCTCCAGTCCACTGAAGATAGGAGGGTTTGTTCTCCAGCCACACCGAGGGGAGGCAACAGTTTGAGATTGGGTGAAGAGCTCGTGTGTGGATCAGCCCTTTCAGTCTGAGCTAGAGGTGAGAGCTAGTGGCTGCCCGTTTTGCTTTTCTGATATTCAGTTGGAAGGTGGTCTCTGAGTCCTTTTATTAATTCATGTTACAGCAGTGTACTTGAGGTTTGGGAATGTGGTCATGGTAGAATCTTATCTTAGTGTTCTGTACTTGCATTTAAAACATACATGACATTGAGAAAAGACTGGAACACAGCTCTCTTACACAAACTTTGCCTTAACTGTAACATGGCTTTAGGTTTGAGGAGCAAAGGGTAAAGCGGACCATATCTGTTCCACTAACATCAGGAACAAACGAAGCCTGTCCAATCTCTCCATGTTTATTAAGCATAGTACATAAAGTTCTAGCTAGAGCAGTATAACAACTGAAAGAAATCAAGGAGATGCACATTGGAAAAGAAGAAGTTAATATATCATTACAGCCCCACATCAGTTCACATAGAATAGTATCATACATATGATTATATCATTTAGTTCATATAATGTATCATATCAGTTGATATGATGGTATACATAAGTGACCCAAAGAATTTTACCAAGGAATTCCTACAGCTGATTTTTAAAAACTATTTTACTTTATGTTTTTTCTTATTTTACATATTGATCCCAGTTCCCTCTCCCTCTGTCCCTCCCTCCCATGCCCCCAACCACCCTCCCAACCCATTTACCCTCCCCCCACTCCACAGGTAGGGTAATGCCTTCCAGGAGGGGTCATCTAAATCTGTCAAGTCATTTGGAGTAGGACTAGGCCCTCCCTCCTGCCTCTAGGTTAAGGTAATATCCCTCCATGGGGAATGTGCTCCAAAAGTCCTTTTTGTGCACCAGGGATACATCCTGGTTCCACTGTCCAAGGTCCCTTAGACTGTCCAGGCCTTCTAACTGAGTCCCATGTTCAGGGGGCCTGAGTCATTCCCATTCCCAGCTCCTCCTTGTTCAGGTCAGCTGTCTCTGTGGGTTTCTGCAGCCTGGTCTTGTCCTCCCTCTCTGCATCTGGATTCCAGTTCTGCTCAGTGTTTAGCTGTGGCTGTCTGCTTCTGTTTCCATCAGCTACTAGATGATGGTGGATGAGTTAGTCATCAATCTCATTATCAGGGAAGGGCATTTATGGCAGCCATTCCACTGTTGCTCAGATTGTTAGGTGGGGTCAGTCTTGTAGGTCTCTGGACATTTCTCTAGAATCATTTTCTCTAGAAACATATAATGGCTCCCTCTTTTATGGTATCTCCCTCTCTCTCATCTATTACTCCCCTGACTCGATCTTCCTAGACCCACGTGGTTTCCACTCTCTCCTCTGTATTTGCCTCTGAGTTTTTACTACATAGTCCATTTAAGAACTCCATTTACATTTGTTCATAGTTAGAAAAAGTTAAAGTTTGATGTCTTTATCAATAAGGGAAATGCAAATTCAAACTGCTTTCAGAGTCTCTCCACCAGAGTCAGAGTACCAGGAAATCAAACTCATGCAAGTTCCAGTCTGAGCAAAGAGTCATAGAGCCACTGCCGATGTGGATGTGGATCACTTCAGACACTGGCAATTCTAGTTGCAGGGTATCAAGACACAAAATTATAACTGAAATGCAGCTTTGTACACTGCTGCTGAGTATTCCATGAGATGCGAAGTCAACACACCCGAATCATCCATATCCTGTGGTCACTGCTGCACCATTGACAGCAGCTAAGATGTGACGAGCCTAGACATCCACCAAGTGATGAGTGAATACAGGAAACACAATGTGTCTTTTCAGTATACCTTCATTCAGACATAAACAAAAATGACATGATGACATTTGTAAGAAACGATGGAGATCATTGTGTTCAGAAAATGAAGCCAGGGTGTTAAAGACAAATAGCATGGGTGTTATGATTTGTTGGACTGGATTTGAGCGTGTGTGGCAGGTGACACAGGTGGGTCATGGAAGGAGAAGGGGGACCCTGAAATCAAAGAAAAGCATCCTAAGGGACCAAGAAAGGGATTTGATGAGGACGGATAGTCAATGCTTAGGCCAAAAGTGAGATTAGGTTATTAAATACCTTCAGCAGGACGGGAGGCTGGGCAGTGGCTGGAGTCCAGCCTACTGTGCAAAGTATTATGTGAGAATATGCAGGGGCTGATTTCCATTTTGGAGGATGTATTTGTGTCATGGTTTTTATTTTGGGAGATATAACTGTCTCCTCATTTTCTGGCATGAACCTGGAACCATGAGGAAAGCAGGTGGGCTGACTGGTGTACAGCTTTGGGAAGTCATCATGAACAGCTGCTCATATACTTCAGTTATAGTGTATACATATATAATATGTAAGAAACATATGTTCTGTATACAGGAGGGCAATCATAGTTGATAACCTTCAATCACAGAGAGGAACTGTAACAGTTGTGTTGCTGTTACTTACACTTATGGTATGAATGTGAACTATATCCCACAGTCTCACATGCTTGTGCTTAGATGGTGATGAGGCAGGAAGACACTGAACCAGAGTAGAGGTGGAAATTCCAGCTATTCATATAAGAAAGGTAGCAGGGGAGACATGACTGAACAAACCTAGCCTACCTTCTAATGCCCTACGAACACTTGGCTATTTCTCATTTAGCAAATGTTTTGCCTTCTTTTAACCATCCATGTGTATTTATAAAAAGGTTCATTGTTGAGGCTTAAGACCTTGGAAATGAGAGTGTCTCCCCTACAGACACAAATACATCCTTTAACAATGGGAAATTCAGCATGGGTTGGTTGTGGAACCTTTAAGGTGTTCTGGAAACTACTTACTCCCTTGGGAAATGAGTGGCCAGGATCAGTGCACAGAAAACAATGAATTTTTATATAATTTTTTTATTTAATTTTATATAACAAAGTCCAATTAAATGAAAACAAACATTTATACACAATATTTGGGAATTTGGGCGTCGTTCTTTCCAAACTACTTCCTGCTGGTAAGGGGCGCTGTCTTGGGGGATTCGAAGAAGATTCAGATATCCTAGCTGTAGTCTGTAGGGCTGTTTTGTCCAGCTGGAAAACAATGAATTTAAGATCCCTCATGGGGATATCTTTTCTATGTTGTGAATATATGTTTCTCCTATTGGTTGTTGAATAAAGCTATTTCATCCAATGGGCAGGCAGGACATAGACAGGCAGAAAATATAGGCAGGGCTACCAGACATGAAGAATTCTGGGAAGAGGAACAGACAGGGTGAGTCCTAAGGGAGATGCCAATCAGCTACTGAGAAGATAAGACTTGGGTATTCTCTGGTAAGCCAAGACTTCGTAGAGATACATAGATTAACAGAAAGAGGGTAATTATTAAGATCTAGTTAGCCATTAAGATGTCTGAGCATCAGCCAAACAGTTTACAATTAATATATGTTTCTGTGTGCTTATTTGGGACTGAACTGTTGTGGAAATAAGCGGCACAGAAACTTCTATCTATAGATCCCAAAGTGTCATGCTTTACCCAAATGTGTCTGAAGACCAGGTGGTAGAATTTGTGAACAACTGCGTGTTATAGGCAGGAAATTCTCAAAACCTGGTGAATCACGGATTCTGAGAGACGCTGGGGTGAGGCACTTGTTCTTAGGTCAGAGCTTCTGCAAGCAGGCTCTGAAAGGCCCCTCATGCCCTCAAGCTAAAATCTAACTTACAGTGGAGTCCACAGGAGGTGTTGAGAGCAGAGCCATGGGATACCCAGCAAAGAGAGCTAAAGTTAACATATGGCAAGAGCCAGCCTGAGAGAGTCTCCCAGGTCTCCAGTGACCATACCCGAGGCATTCGGTTGTCTGTGTCAGCCATGGAGTATAGGATATGCGGGTTTTACTGAGTGGTTATTGTCTTGCTTTGAACTTGTTATTCCTTGCTATGAACACAATTCCATTTTGGAATGGAAATTTAAACTCTGTGCACTTGTAATGTGCTGTTATCGTTTTAATTTCACAGATAGTAAAAGTTAATGGACTTCCTTAAGTTTGAGAACAAAAGCTGATTTTGGAGATTTGAACCCTCCTGAAACTGTGGTGACTTCTGAATGCAATCTCAGCAAGAGACAGTCATTACCTTATTGCATGAGTGGGCTCTGTTGGGTTCTGATAGAGTCACTTGAGGATTGTCTACTCTTCTGTGACCTCATCCCTTAGATGGTGTCTGTGTGGTTACAGCACAGCTAGTACAGGTCACTGATTTGTTCATATAAAATGAGATCCATGACACAGGATCAGGGTAGTGGACAGAAGGAACCACCTCTGCACTGAATGCTTTCCAGTGACCAGTTTTACTTGGTCAACTCTTGTGAATTAAAACATTGGAATCCCAGAAAATTCTTTGTCGACTTTCTGATCTTATGGAAAATGGGCACCAGAATCCCTGGAAAAAGAGCTCTACCAGCAATGGGAAACTGAGTCTGTAATGAGAGACCCATGCACTCCTCATTCTAGAACACCAGCACACAGCCAGGCACACCTTCAAGCAGAAGGCTTTGAATGCATAAAATCTCACTGAAATAAAACCAGAAAGAAAGCATAATACTACAGTTAAAGTCAAACTTTAATTTTAAGACATCACGGTTTATACTTTTTATTAAAGAAAAGTTTAAATATCCTTTGGAGAATCAACATCGTAAAGTAATTGAGAACACAGATTAAAGTATTGTAGTGTGTTCACAGTGAAATCACGCTTCAGATTTTTTTTTTTTTTTTTTTTATCACAGAGTGTATCTTAAAGGGATTCAGGGTTGAATTCCACAGATAATATGCTAGTCACTGTAATGAATGAAGAGACTCCCTGCTGTTTCTTCTTCTACTTTTCCCCATGTCCATGGCACCGTCACATTGGTCACATCTTGAGGTAGAGGGCTCCTGAGGTAATGGTACATTGATTGCTTTATTCCCAGGTTAAAAGAATGTTGCCATCCCTGCCGTAATTGTTACTCTGGCTGGAAGCAACACAGTTGTTGCTTTTTTTAAGGAAGAATGCAGCAAGGTGGCTTTCTCATAATACCTCCCCTGCAACATGTCCTACAAGGCAACCATCCGTGTACCCCAAGCAAGAAGAATTGGTTCTCATCCATAGCCAAATATCATCTCTAGCCACAGTCCACAGGACACTTAGTCAGACAGTGAACTGTGTGTTGTTTTACATACATGAGGGCTTAAGTTCCTTCTTGGCTTCCCTGTGGGCACTCGAGGGTGGAAATGTGACAGCGTCATACCTGATCCTTCTCAGGTGTCACATCGTTGTCTTTTGTCACATCCGTATACTTCTTTATGTCACAATCCAGTTCTTCTTCTGTCCACAGTAAGTTCCCACAGCAAGTTTTCCTGAATTCTTCATAAGTCTTCATGGGAAAGCAAACAAAACATTGAAAACCAACAGATACGGGAAAGATGCATAGAGAAGAAACACAGGGTCAGCAGCGGCTCGCAGTCACCATGTCGCTGAATTCATTCAGGCCCTCGGAGAAGCTGGTCTTGCCCTGCTCGTACTCTGAATTGTGCTCCTCAATCTTCTTCTTCTCCTCCTCCCACACCGACCTTCGGTACTTTTCTTCATCCTGGTACACATAAGAGCCAGTCCTCTCGCTTGAATCCCACACACAAAGGGAGTGTGGTGACAAGTCAAGAGGACCCCTAGAGAGGGATCTCAGGTCACTGCAGCCAGGTATTCTCCACACCCAGAGCATCAGCAAGACTGGCCACCCTGAGTTCATAGGGCATGTCTAAGCAAGTTCTTAGTGATGGCTGGCCTCTGTGGCCATGTCTATGTCTACAGACTCCCAACGGAAAGAGCCATTCTTTCTGAAACCCCCCTGTGTTACCAACCGGGCTGTAGGATTTTTCAAATTTCGTCTTCCATTCCTCCCATTCAGCATCCAAACTGGGATCAGGTGGTGGAGCAGTCGAGGCCATTCTCAAGCAGGAAGACTGCACTAAAGAGGTCTCCAAAACCTAGAGAACAAGGACTTGTCCAGTACCAAATAGTCAGCTCTGAAAACATACACACAAGTCTTATGATGCATACTAAGTTATAGTGAGGTATATTTATGTATATGGATTTATGAATGCAATAACAACTAATGGGAAAAAAAAAAACAACAGCCAGAATTTAAATAGAAGTCGGGAGTGGTAAATCAGGAGGGGTAAAGGAGGGAGCGTTGGGGGAAGGAAGGGAAGATAGCATTGATGTAGTTATATTATTGTCTTAAAAAAATAACAGCACAAACCCAAAGAAAAGTGGCAAATAACCAGAGCAAAGCTAAGAGGATGCTTATGCAGCATGAGTCAGAAGGATGCAGGCCCCTGTGCCTTGCTTGTCTCTGCTCCTACCTGGAGTGGCAGCTTCTGATCCAGTGTGGAAACCAGGACTGTGCTGTCCAAGGCCTCCTAAGAGCTACTTATAGAGGCATCTAGTGGGGCAGGTGCAGAGCAGCTGTGGCCCCACCCTTTGCTTCCTGGACCAGTGGCTACCACTCCCTGAAGCCTAAGGCTGGCCCACAGAGTCGAGTTATAACCTAGCTCAGCTACTGAGTTAGGCATCCCAGGCAGGAGAACATAACTCTGGAGACTGACCCCAAGTTCTCTGTTCTGCACAATTAGCGATCTTCAGAAACAACAGAATTATCATAAGGTGAACCCATTGAGGACAGACAGTAGGTCCCACAGTCCTACAACAGATTCACATCACTACGGAAAGGACATGCTAGCCTTATACTGACTGTGAAGGCATACTGACAGCACATTTGAAGAGTCAGTGGCTGCCTCGCCTGAAACACAGCCTATGACAGACTGGGAGCGTCTTCAGAGTGGATGAAATAAGCAGAAGAAAACAGAGATGTTGGCGATATTTTTCATCCAGCCCAACCAACAGTGTCTCAGACTAGGGCTTTACAGCTTTAGAAGTTATTAGAGCTGTTCAAACCCAAGAAGACACATCTCATGTGTACAAAAAGTTGGCCTACATGGTTGGACTGGACACGTGGTAAGTACAGTGTAGACATGGACCATTACATTGACTCTCATGGTTATGCACATGACTAGGAAGCAGATGTAACAAAAATTAGGAGACAGTACAGTTGTTTTGGGTGATAAATCACAGAAAATGCAAATTTCTAAGCGTGACCAGAAGTTTTTTTTTTTTTCTATTTTGATATATTACACAAAAATACAAAACTACTGATGCATGACCACATTCCTTCAATGTTCTTCAGAGTTTTACTAAACACCTGCCTGTCCGATAATTGAGATTTGAAGATGTATTTGGATGTTTTGTATAAGCAGAATTGGATGGATAGATGGATGCTTTCTGTACAAAAAAAAAAAAAAAAATGCATATGCCCTTCCCAAGTCAAATTGGCTGAAACTCTAAGCAGAAATGTGATATACAGAGCAGTAGCAATACAGTTTAGTTCCATATTACAATCAAAATGGAAGAGATTTGTTATATGTAGTTTCCTGACAGCCTGATTCCAAAGCTGCATCAGCCCCAAATAACACACAGAGAGGCTGTATTCATCATAAAACTGTTGGCCCATTATTAGCGTTTCTTTTTGGCTGGCTCTGTCTTAAATATTAACCCTTTATCAATCTAAGTATTTCCATGTGGCCTTTTCTTACTGGAAAGAGGGTCCGGACCTCTTACTCCTCTTGGGCCTACATTTCCACTCCTCTCTACTACATCTCCCAGAATCCTCCTTGTCTCCTAGTCCCTATCTTCCTTTCCTATTGGCCAATAGTGCTCTATTCATTAACTAATAAGAGAAACATATTTACAGAATGACATCTCCCATCATCTCCTCTGTTCTGTCTAAAATAAAAAGAAGGGTTTTAACTTTAATACAGTAAATATATATAACAAAACAGTTATCAAATGAGAACTATAGTTAACAATTTTTAGTCCATTAACATTTAGCAAGATTTAAAGAAAATATTCCATCATCTATACTATCTTTGTGAGTATAAAGTCTTATATGTAACTTATGTTTAATCCTAATTAAGGAAAACTATAACCATAACTATCTGTCTTCAACTCCATCAAAGACCACAGAAAGTTAGTATATAAACTCTAGAAATGATACAGACAACTTACCTTGTCAGTCACCAGAAGTTTTTCTGTAATGTTCCATCTTCAGCCCATAGGCCATAGTGTGTCTGGCAGACTCCCCAGCAAAGCAGAAAACTTTAAACTGTCCAACTGTATTGGCAGTTTGTCAGTCACTTTTCTCTGTACCCTGTAGAATGTCTGGTAGACTCTTCATGAAGTAGGAACTCTATAGTACTGTCCATCTTGTCTTATCAGTCACTTTCCTGTGGGTTCTGCTTGTCTACTTAATAAAGCATATAGTTAAACAGTCCACACAAGATCAGTATCTTGCCCAAATGGCTAGTCTTGCCATATTGGAGGCAAACTCCATGATGAGTTTCTCCGATGTCCATCTTCCTTTCTGACACAGATGGTATTGCTAGGAGAAGTTATGTCTCGCTGTCAAGAAAAAAAACCCAAACCATTTTAAATGCCATATTCTGTAGGTCTTTGAAAGGTTTGAAGAATGTCTATCAATTTGAAATATATCTATGTATATCTAGAAAACCTAACTAAGTTTTGACTATTATAGGTAACTATCTATAATCTGTACTAAATTATACATTTCATTTTAAATGAGCTATACAAACACAATACCTAAAGAAGAGAAATATACATATCATAAAATTGACCTTAAATTTGTATCAATAAATGAAAATCCATTCCAAAACAAAGTATTCATTCCTATGCCATAATCCCCTTTTTACCTTTAAAAAGAGATTGGTTGTGATCTTTAACTATTTATAATCAACCCCAATTTAAATAAAACAAACATTTATATACAATAATTGAGAATTTGGAGGTTGTTTTTTCCAAACTGCTTTCTGCAGGTAGGGGCATTGTCTTGGGGATCCTAAGAAGATGTAGATATCCTGGCTGTAGTCTGCAAGGCTGCCTTGTCCCAGCTGTTTTGAATGTTGGATCACCTGGGACACTGCTTCAAGGGGTCTTGCTTGATCAATCCATGTTAGTCTGGAAGGAATCAATAGCTTTTCATTTTCTGTGGAAATAAAAATAGAAATTCTTTTCCCCAGTAACCTGTCCTTAGACTTAAAATTTGAGGTTAAAGCATTTTAAATATATATAAATTGGATTAATTCAGCAGCATTGATTATCAAGTGTATTTTAGCAGTTATCCCTTCCTTAGCAATTGAGCAATTCAAAGACAACACAACAGCATACAGTATCCAGACTCTGTGTATTTTCCATTTTTACATGTCTTTTTTTTTATTACTCTATTTCTTCTCCTTCTATTTTTTTTTTTTTTTTTTTTATTTTTTGAGACAGGGTTTCTCTGTGTAACTTTGGCTGCCCTGGAATTTACTCTGTACACCAGGTTAACTTTGAAATCACAGAGATCTGCTTGCCTCTGCTCCTGAGTTCTGGAATTAAAGGCGAGGCCACCACACCCAGCTAATTCATGTCTTCAGTGTTCCTGACTTTTGACAATGTGGTCAAAGTACAAGATTTGGTTGATGTTCTCTGCCACCTTCTTTCAGCCACTCCTGGAACTTTCTCCAAAATCAACCATATACTTGGGCACAAAGCAAGTCTCAACAAATATACCAATAATAACAATAATAATCTGAATATTAACAGCAGAAATCTTATAAACTCATGGAAACTGAGCAACTCACTACTTTACTGAGTAAAGATGGACATCGAGAAATAAATTAAAACCTTTTCAGATTTAAATGAAAATGAAGACATAACATACCCAAAATTGTGGAACAAAATGAAGATGGTCCTAGGAGGAAAGTTCATGGCACTAAATCCTTACACAAAAATATTTGAAAGATTTGTACTAGTGACTAAATAGCACACCTGGGAGACCTAGCAGAAAGAGAAGAATTAATGCCCAAAGGGAGTAGATGGTAAGATATAATCAAAACCATCCATTACTGAGAGGAAATTCAAGAAGAAATCAGAAGATGGAAAGGTCCCCTACACTCATGGATCAGTAGAATTCATATATTGAAAATGGCCATCCTACCAAAAGCAGTCTACAGAGTCATTGCAATTCCCATCAATAATCCAACACAATTCCTTACAGATCATGCAAACCTTTTCAATATTTCTAATGTGACCCAAAGAACAGGCTAAGGGAAACTCAAGTCTTGTGAGTCTTAGGACATAGCCTCACTGCCCAATAAACAGCCAGAATTCTGTTATCTTTTATAAACACTACGTATTACTTTCATTTTAATGATTGTATATTTACTGGTATGCGTGGTAAAATAACTGGCAACTGAGGGATGCTCAGAATAAGAAAGCATTCCCCAGGAAAGAGCCCAACAATTGGCTGTCCAATACGAAAGGACAGACCTGAAAACATATATACAATTAGCATGATATAGACTGAGCAGGTTGTTTTTATGTAACTTAGAATACATGTCACAACATACTTTTAATGAGAAATGAAGCTATGAATTGGAAGAGAATAGGGAGAGGTATATGGGCATATATGTATGGAGGGAAGGGAAAAGAGAAATTATGTAATTGTTGTTGTGCCCATATTCTGAACCCCAAAATCACCAAGAGACCCAATCTGATAGAAAAGCAGAGTCTTTAATTGATTAACAAATAAAATGTATTAACTCTGGTCCTCTATCCGTCTGACACAGTGGAACAAAAAGGATCTGGAGGGACCTTGGGACAGGGAATTTATTGGGATAGAGCAAGGGGAGTGTCTGTGGTCCTCAACAGTCTCAGGACTGGTGCATTTCCAAGCTTGGATGACCTGTCCTGTGTTGATTGGTCAATTGCACCTACAGCGAGGTTGCTATGGCCTATAGGCCCTCCCAGGGTGGTTGCTATGCTCTGTACTCCACTGTTACCTAAAAGCACATCTAGAGCCTGCCAGCTAACTTCTGATTTGTTCCTAGCCACACAGAGGATATCTGGCTTCCTAGTGACTGGGACAAGGTTGGGCAACATTGGGCAATGTTGGCCAAGGTTGGGAAGCTCAGCACATGCCTCTGAGTCAGAGGTCAGCTTGTTATGGCTGACAAAGCAGGGGACTGGGTAAGGGTCTGGTCCCTTTAATTACAATCTCAAAAAAAAAAAAAAAATAAAAGACATAGAAAAACAAATTTATGTCACTACTATTGGTGCATAATTTTCAGAAAATACATGCATTGTTTAAAAGTAAAGAGAGTTTAGATCAGTGTGTGTTCTTTGAAAATACAGCTACAATGAATGCCTGGAACTTAGCCTGGCATTTTAGCTCAGCACAATGCTCCCGAGGCTCTATGCCCTGTGCACAGTAGTTGTTGTTTCTTTGTTCTGCTAAGCATGTTCTGCTTGTAAGATTTTCAGTTTTATTATCCATTGAAGATGAGTAAAGCCTTTGACTATTTTTCACAGTACAGGTGCAGTGCAGTCAAACAGAATGAGGGGCCATTATCTTTGCACTGAATGCAAACAATTTTCACTCATCAAATTCATGTGAATTAAAATCATTGAATTCCAGAAATTTTCTTTCTTTTTTTATTAATTTTATATATTTGTATTATTTTTCTTATTTTACATATCGATCCCAGTTTCCTCACTCCCTCCCATGTCCCCAATTCTCCTCCCATCCCACTACCCCCCCAACACACACTCCACAGGGAGGGTGATGCCTTCCAGGAGGGGTCATCAAAATCTGTCAAAACATTTAGAGTAGGGTCTAGGCCCTCACTCCTGCCTCTAGGTTAAGGGAGAATCCCTACATGGGAAATGTGCTCCCAAAGTCCTTTTGTGCACCAGGGATACATCCTGGTTCCACTGTCTGGGGTCCCTTAGACTGCCCAGGCCTTCTAGCTGAGACCCATGTTCTGGGGGGGGGGGTCTGAGTCGGTCCAATGCTGGTTTCCCAGCTATCAGTCGGGGGGTCATGAGCTCCACCTTTTTCAGGCCAGCTGTCTCTGTGGGTTTCTGTAGTCTGGTCTTGACCCCTTTGCTCATCAGTCCTCCCTCTCTGCATCTGGATTCCAGTTCGATCCAGTGTTTAGTTATGGGTGTTTGCTTCTGTTTCCATCAGCTACTAGATGAGAGCTCTATGAATGCATATAAGTTAGTTACCAATCTCATTATCAGGGAAGGGCGTTTATGGTAGCCTTTCCACTGTTGCTCAGATTGATAGGTGGGGTCATCCTTGTAGGTCTCTGGACGTTTCTCTAGAGTCAGTTTTCTCTTCAAACCTATAATGGCTCCCTCTATTATGGTGTCTCTTTTTTTTCTCTTCTATTCCTCCCCTCACTCAATCTTCCTGGTCCCACATGTTCTCCTCTCCTCCCCTTCTTTTAATCCTAACACCCTCTCCACTCACTACCCCCCACTCCCAATATGCTCAGGAGATCTTGTCCCTTTCCCCTTCTGTGAGGGACTTTATATGAATCTCTTAGGTTCCTCCTTGTGTCCTAGTTCCTCTGGCGGTGTGAATTATAGGCTGGTGATCCTTTGCTCTATGTCTAAAACCCATATATGAGTGACTACATGCCATGTTCCTCTTTTTGTGACTGGGTTATGGCACTCAGGATGGTTTCTTCAATTTCATCAGGAATTTTCAAATAGACTTTCAGATCATTGCTGATCTGAACAACACTTCCTCCCAGAACACCGTTCCACAGTCCAGTTATTACTTCAAGCAGAATCACATGTTAACCATATTAAAAAAAAATCACTTCCCCACAAAACAGAAACCAGAATACTGCATTTTAAATGAAGCTTTATTTTAAAGACATAGCATTGTATATTCTTTTTTTTAAGTTAAATCTAAAAATCATTAATATAAAGGAGTTGAGGGCATGAGTTAAAGTGTTTGCAAGGGGTTTGTTTTGTTTTGTTTTAGTGTGAACATGCCTTGGAGTTCACACCACAGCGTGGCTCTTGATGGATTTGAGTGTCAGATCCTGTGATGGGGAGGCCCCTTGTTGTCTCTCTTCTCTCCCTCTCAGTTCAGACCTTTGCTTTCACCACCAAGCATCTCACATCTCAGGGCAGTAGGCTCTGAGACAAAGGTAGAGTGGTTGCTTCACTCCTTGGCTAACTTCATGTTGCCATCCATGTTACTTCTGCTAGAAGCAAAGCACATGTCGCACTAATTAGGAAGAATGTAGTGAGGTGGCTTTGTAATAATACCCTACCCCCTACAAGGGGACCAGTCATGTTTAATGCTCGGCAAGCAGTACACTTGCCCTAAGCAAGAAGAAAAGTTTGTCACCTACCACCAAATGTCAACTCTAGCCGCAACCCACAGAGCAGAACATTTAGGCTATCGGTGAACTGTGTGTTGCTCCATGGATGACATAAGTGGGGACTTTATTTCGTTCTTTACTTCCCTGTGGGCAGTTGAGTGTGAAAACATGACACCGTCATACCTGATCCTGTACAGGAGTCATGTCGTCGCTCCCTGTCAAATCCCCAAATTGAGGGACATCATCTGCCTGTGTTTCAGCTCCTTTCTCCTCTCCAAACATTGGGAACAAAACTTTATCCACCATATTCTTGAACTCATCGTCAGTCTTCATGGAAAAGAAAAAGCAAACAGAACATTGAAACCGACAGACTAACTGTAAAAATGTGAAGAAAGGGTCAGAACTCTCTAAGCCACACTCACCAGGTCATCAAAATCTTCCATTTCTAAGCTGAAGTCATCAGACTGGGCAGTCCCCTGATTGCCGAGTTCAATAAAGCAAGTAAGACATTGAGAACGAACAGACTAACTGTAAACCTCTGAAGGAACGGACATCTAGGCCACACTCACCAAGTCATCAAAGTCTTCCATGTCTGTGTTGAGGCTGTCATTCTTCTGGCCAGTTTTCTTATTGTAGAGTTCTACCTGCTTCATAAATTCCTCCCATATCTGTCTTCTGAATCCGTCTTTATCCTAAAAACAACATTAGTGACAGTATTTCCTTCATGTTAACTCCACACACATGCTGAGCAAGTAGACTTGCTGTGACAGATCAAGAGCAGCCCTGGGACCTCAGAACCCTGCAGCATTGGCTCTCCACACCCTGCATTTCAGCAATGCAGGCCACCTCGTGTTCATAGTACACAACTCTAAGCAGTTCCTTGGTGGCAGTTGACCCCCTATGACCTCGCTTATCCTCCAGTGCTCCTATCAGCAATGACTAGTCCTTCTGAGATCCCTTTGGGCAGCTCCCATGTTACCAACCTGCTTATTTTCTATTGGCTGCTCTTGCTGTTCAGCATCCAGGGAGGGATCAGGGGATTCAGCAGCTGAGGCCACTGTCAAGCCCAGGATGACCAGGAGCACAGCAGGAGTCATGTCTCAACACCTGGAGGTGAAAGGAGAAATCCCAGTCTGCATACTTCAAAGTTACTAGAATGTTTCCTTCTTGTAGAGAATAAGAGGACTTCAAGGGCTGAGGGACACTGCACACCTTCCAGCTTATTACATAGCAGGAGTTACCCTGTGCCTTGGACCTTCCCTTCTTGAATGATAACAGTGTAGCCTTTTATAGAGGACCAGGGAAAGACAACATCTACTCATCCCTCTGACATACAGTTGTGACTGTGCCTCCTGAGTCTCTGCTCACTGACTCAGAGAGGAAGGGATTCATAAGGTCATGCCACCAAAAGCCAGAGCCACTAGTGTGAGCGGAGTAAAGAGGAAGGGGTTCACAAGTTCATGCCACCAGAAGCCAGAGCCACTAGGTGAGCAGAGGAGAGAGGAAATGCTCAGCTCAAGACTTTCTAGTCTTGCATTGAACTCCTCCCGAGAAGATATCAGGTTAGGGGCACACTGCTTGGCATTCCTTCTGAACAAACAGGCAAGAGGTTTTAACTAGGGTTGATATGGGGAAAGGTGATCTTAAGTGAATGGGAAGCACTGGGCACGCCTGCCGTTGTGCAGGGCACTAGCTGTCACTCCCTGTGACCAGGTCACTTGTACTTGTACTCATAGGGACATAGCACTAAGTTCGATACCCAAGGGGCCTGGTCGGCTCTTTTGTTTCTCTATCCATCCTCCTCTGCGCCTCTACCAAGGCTCTGGATGGTCAGATTTCCTCATCCATACTAGGTCTGCCTCATTCTCCAGGGAGTCTCTCCAGAGCTCACCTCCAGTTCCCAATCTACTTTGGAAGAGCCAGGGCCTCACCTGAGATGTCCGATGTTGTACTTGTGCACTGACTCAACTCTTCAGTGGTTCCTGGGGATCCAGAATCTAGCCCAGCTACACACTGTTCAGTTTTTAAAGCCCTAGTCTATGAAGATCCACCCAACAACCCTAACTCCTTTATGATTGGGTGTGTTGGTGACAGCATTGGGCCCCAGGCTCTATCACTCCAGGTGTTTACAGAAATCTGGTCTCACCCTGTCCTGGAGGACAGAGTGATGTGTTGTCACAGTGCACTGGGACGGGGGAGGGGGTTGTGCAAAGACCCCTTTAAAAAGAAGGCATGGAATAAGCCTTGAATCCTGGGGTCATTTGGTACCCTGCTATTGTGCTTTGTTTAAGAAAAAAAAGTGTTTCCAGATAATTTTGAATGGATTTTCAACCTAACCGTAGTTTTAACTTTGAATAAGAAACTCCCTGGAGTAGGATGAGTTAGGACATTCATGTTTAATGTCTCCTGGTGAGAATACAGACCCTAGGATACTTCTCCAGTGTCTGGGTTGAATCCTGGTGGCTCTCACAAAGAAAAAAAAAATATTTAGGGATGGGGCTTAGAAAGATGACTCTGCAATTAAGAGTACTTGCTGTTCTTGCAGAAGACCCAAGTTCAGCTCCCTGGACCCACGTGGGGCTCCCAACAACCTTTCCTTCTAGTTCCAGGGAATCCAATACTCTCTTCTTGTCTCTTTGAACATGAGACACACAAATAGTGAAGGGAAATGCATGTATACACAAAACAACATTAAGTAAAAGTTTTTCAGACAAGAGAACAGTTAGGTGAAGGCTGTCTTGACACAGAGAGGAGGTAGTCAAGGGCAAATCCTTGGGGGGGACAGGGCATGAAAGGAGCGGATGGAGATAGCCTATGATGCCTCCACCAGTTATACATCCTGCCTAGTCTCCTTGCTCAGAAACACTTTGACCTCTCATTTATTTCGCATTTATTTAGCAACCAATTCCTCTTTCAGCAATCAATTTATGATATATGACTCAGTTGCTAAAATGCCGTGTTAATAAGTGGGAAAAGGTATATGAGAAATAAGGAAAAATTTCAGCTGATCTCTCTGGGTTTTGCTATATGGAAAACCAGTGTTCACCTTGAGATTTACGTTGAATGCATTTCATGAAACTCAATTTTAAAATGTGAGATAAAGGGAGCTCGAGAATGTTTTAGGTAGAAGATAACACAGGTACATAAAAGTAACTACTAACTGCTACAATCCAGGACTTAAAAACAGGGGTCACCAAGAGAACAAGGCCCACCATATCAGCTAAGCAGGGCTCACATGGGCTCTCAGAGACTGAAGAGGCAAGCCTAGGCCCTGCATATGTCTGCATCAAGTGCTGTGCATCTGTTATGAATTAGATGGGTGTTTTTGCAGGACTCCTATGAGTGCTTTTGACTCTTTTCCTTCTATTGAATTGCCTTGTTCGGCCTCAGTATGAGTTTTTGCCTTGTCTTACTGTATCTTGCTTTGTCCTCTCTGGATGTCATCTCTTGGATCTAGGGAAGAGGTGAAGGGGGGGAAGCAGGGAGGAATAGAGGGAGGGGAAACTGTGGTCAGGATGTATTGTATGAGAGAAGAATATATTTTTAATAAAAAAAAACAAGGTTCAGAAATGTCCCTAATCATTATGATTTTGACAATGACATAAAACACATTTTCATTACAGAATTTTTTTTCAAGGAAAAAAGAATCTTGCCATTTCTGCAACAATAATGAATATTTTTTGCTTATTCAATCAAAATGAAATCATAGTTTATGTATTTTGTACATATCATAATTTATAGGTTTGTTTTTTCTGACTGAGATTCACTTGAGCACCACCCAGACGCACCATGTGACATGGCACCCTTTACATTGAGTGACACATATATTGTAGGAAAGTCCCATTTTAACTATTGTAGGCATGGGACCCAGAGGCACTAGCCCCTTAGAAAGCCATTCACAGTGTTAAATAATGGGCCTGCAAGATACATCTTGGATGGTAAACACATCTTCCTGAAATGCTGGTGACTTGAACGAAAGGAACTCCATAGTGGAAGGAGAAATCTGACTGCTGTATGCTGTCCTTTCGTATCCATACACACACCCTTCCCCAAATTTCAAATACATGAATAAAAGATAATGTTCCTCAAATAGAATAAACTAGGTCCCAACATCATGTGTCCAACTTTCTTACTTTTTAAGGATGTATAATATTTATTACGTAGTGTAGTCGTTTCAATGAGATGTCGCCATATTCTTGGATATTTGGTTCCTAGTAGGTTTCACCATTTGGGTATATTTAGGAGATCTGGCATTGCTAGGGGAAATATGTCACCAAGTGTGGGGTTTGAGCATCCAAAAGCCATGCAACTACTTCCAGTGTGCATTCTGCTTCTTGTTTGTGTTTTGAGACGTGAGCTCTCAGCCACGGCGCCAGCTGTCGTATCTGCTACCTGTTGTCATGCTGGCCCTTATTATGAACCCTAATCCTCTAAGATCATAAGCCCCAAAGAGACCATTCCTTCTCTAAAATGCCCTGGTAATGCTGTTTTATTACAGCAATAGAATACTAACTTATAGAGACACCATCCCCCTCCCCCCTGCTTCATTTCATGAACATGTTTCCCATGCAAGTAGGAAAAGAAGATACAATACTTGTATCCCCTACATTACAAAATGTGGACAAAGTCTAAATTTGACCCTTAGAATTTGTAATGCAAGAAAAGCAGTTATGGATGTTCAAGCAAGAGGGAATAAGCCATTATTGTTGCTATAGTCATTGGGATGCCTGCTTATATAGAAAATCTGACAAATTATACTGAGCTCATATTAGTTAGTTTGGACATGTAAATCTTGTGCTAAATCCATCTCTGTAAGTCTTTGTAGCATCCTGTTTCAGCCAACAATTCTCCAACAATGCTATTAAGTCAGTTTAGCATGAACATCTACCATTACTTTCTGTTAATCCTCTCTATCTGTTCAAGAGATGTTTTCTCCACCAATGCTCCAGGTTATGTCTCCTCACATGGCCATCAGCAAAAATCCTGTAAGTCTTAGTCAAAATCCCCTTCACCCTGATGCTTCTGAGCAGTGTTTCATCTACTGAGTCTCCATCTGCTCCTTGCTATAAAATTTACATAACCACAGATACGTGACAACAAGCACCTTCTTGCCTCTCACGCAGGACTCTAAGCAAATGACTTCTATAGCTATAGCCTAGTCCTTAGCACAGTTTTCCTAGACATTTTTAGTAAGTAATTAATTCTTTAATTCCTAGATATGCCTTGATGAACAATCAAGCCCCAATTTCTCTAAAAAAGTAGTTTCCCACCCTTTCCTTTTCCTGTGCCTCACTAACGCAGCAGACAATCTAATCAAAGGAAGAGCATGTTCTTGGTGATCATAAGTCCTCAATTCCTAGAACTTTGGGAGTTGTGGACTGCTTCTTCTGGTGTATCATGACCCAAGAAGTGAGTTGGAAAAGCAAATGATGAATGATACCTGGAGGGTGGACAGTGAAGACACTAAAGATCAGCCTCGATTTCTGAGTCCAGCTGACCCAAATGCTCTGTGTTTGTTCTGTGGGAAGGAGAACAAGAGTCTACTCTACTAGATGAAGAACCAATGGCAGATCAAAGAAATGATTAAAACTAAGTTTATAGTAGTAAACCATTGAATTTATTTGGTTACTTACTGAAACTTAGGTGAACGGCTATTTGACAGAGAATGAGAGATTCCAAGTACCCATACCATACTACTGAAAAATCCCACAGCACCCTGGGTGATAACTGTCTTGGAATGTTCCTTTAAAATGTTTGAAGTTGTATCACTACAATTGGTGTAGTGAAGAGCTGAATGGACAATAGATAGACAGGAAGTGGTTAGACAAGACTTCTGAGGACAGAAAGGTCTCAAGGAAGAAGAGAGTTGGAGTTGCCATCTAGATGCAGAGGGAGAAGATCTACAGGAGGGGAGTTAAAAGGGCTAATTAGAAACAAGTCTAAGCTATAGGCAGAGCTTTCATAATTATATCTCTCAGTATCTTTTGTGGCCCAAGGGGGGAAAAATCTGTCTATATATAAGCTATAAAAACTGCATTTCTGGAACTTCCTATACAACTTGGGGAATAAGAGTTATTTACAAGTTTCAGAATGTTTCT